CAATCATAAAAATTCCTTTCCAGACCTGCAGTTTCTGTGCAGCAAAGCTGGATCACTTGGCCAGTACTCCTGTGTACCTCATAACCCTGTTGAGGGATGGGGACCCTTTTGGTGGCCCCACTTGTCCTCCTTGACCATTGCTYCATCCTACTGAATATTAACCTCCTTAAATGTGGGTGGATGCACAGGTAAAGCTGCCACTCTAATCAGAAGGAGGACTTTACTCAGCCTCTGAGTTTTTCTGTGATTTYGTCTGGTAGAGCTAGAGCTCCCGTGTCTTTTGAAAGCAACTTTYGTTAAAAAGGAAAATATGCTGAACTCCTTAATGCATTTACCAGCTCATTTCACTTTGAATCCAACAATTATCTACAACCATATTATAATAATAAGCCATATGACCTRTTCATAAAGAAGTGTGTGCGCAGTGAGGGGTTGTCTCTGGGTGAAAATAAAGACTGGAAAATCTCAAGCTTTGATTGGGAAGCCTCTCTTCAGCACTCACGAGGCGCTCTTGAAGCTGGCMGGGCCACACACTCATTCAAGTGGCTTGAGTTCTACTTCACACGTGTTTGAGGGCTGTGCCTTTCCACAGCATTCCTCTCCAACCCAGAATCCCTTTGCCCTGCTATCCCTTGTTGGTGCTTTGTCTGGGAATAATTTTTTAAATGAACTGAGATTAACAGGCAACGGGGTATTTCTTTTCCCTTGTGTTCCTTCCACTTCTCTCTCTTCTTTCGTTGTCTACTCCCTTTGTTCTTTGAATCCTTCTTTTTATGCCTCAACTTCTTCTTCTGTTCAAAATGGAAAGCCCTGTGGTASAGTTAAAGCCCATCCCAGGCGGGCCGGGAGGGAAGCAGTTGGAGGTTCTTTCTTAGATACAATGTACTCATGATCACCTGGATGGTCATTCCACTGGCTTTGCAACTCCATAGGCTCAGAGTTAGACATGATCCCTCAAGAAGGTCACATACACACCACAGTGCTACGTGACTGTACGGTCCTGCCCAGAGTGTGCTATGCCTTAGTCAAAAGAGAAAAGAAAAGAAAGCCTCTGTCTTGAACAAGCACACTTTCAATACAAATGTGTAAAACTTTTGGATGTTTCCTCCTTTATATAACATATATGACATATTCCATCCATGATTCCTTTCTTCTTCCTCCTCCTCCTCCACAGAGAGAGAGAGAGACACAGAGAGAGAGAGAGAGAGAGAGAGAGAGAGAGAGAGAGAGAGAAAGTAGGGATGGAAGGAAATGGCCATGGATTGCTCTCTCTCTCTCCTCTGAGACTGGGTGTGGAGTACAGGAAATAGAGAGGGTCCTCTAACTCCTCTCGGCTCTGCCATTGACCATCCTAGGACCCCCTCTCTGAGCCTCTCTGTGCTCAGGTCTGGAGTGAGGTGATAGGCTAGAGGTCTTCATGGTCTCCTCCACAATTTTGATCGACCCTTTGAAGCAGCAATACATTTAAAGTTTTCGTTTCACACTCCAAATTTTTATAGAGAAGCTGGGGTGGGGGGGATCCTGATGATTTTTCTGTGTCTTGCCCTGAACACCATTAGCGAGAAGGCCCCTTGTCAAACATCACGTACAGCAGCCAAGGTTTAGCAATATGGTTAAGTCAGGCTACCAGAAGTGAAGCCAAGCAAGGGATTGAGGACTTAACTCAGTTCTCCAGCTGAGTCCTGGGAGACTCGGTCTTTTGAGAAGCATCCACTGTATCAGGAATTGAAATGAGCTGGAGAAGCTGGTGAAAGCAGGCTTTCTCATGACAAATGCAGATGTGGCCAGCAGGGGGGTTTGCCTACAGGAGGAATACAGAAGGAGGTCCTTTGAGAGGCATCCATCATCCCCACAAATACTTCCTTAAAAGCTACCTTTAAATAATGGAAAATGCATGTTAATATGTATGTAGACAATGGAGCTTGGATAGGCCCCCTGTTGAACAGTGTGGAGAGTAATAACTGAGCGTCTCTGTCCACTGGGAGGCAAGATGTCTGCAGAGACCAAAGCTGACTGTGAAATTCAGCCCGCTTCTCACTTTGTCCATCACGGCCATTCTGACAGTGAATAATCCTCTATTCCTCTTTCAGGGTTTGCCAAATCGACACTGTTTAAACACTCAACTAATAGTGGCTTCCAGCCTTCTCACCAGTCCTCCTCATCAGCATTAGGAGTTGGCCAGAGCACCCTGGGATCCAGACAGGGGGAGGCAAGCAGGTTTAAGCAAAGGGAGGCAACAGAGGCTGGGATGGTATCATCTGAATTGCAAGTCTTTGCGCAACATGTTCCAGTAGCATTTATGCCGATGTCCTACTAAATTAGCCTGTCCGTTCAGAAATGTCSAAGTCAGAACAAAATGTTGATAAAATGAAAATATACACCCCTAGCTGGATCCACTGTGGCAGTCATTATGTGTCATTGTGACCACAATAAGGAGACTATCCTGCCTGCTGGAAAGGCAAAGCAGAACTTGGATATCTTCTGGTCCCTATGAGAATGATGATTTAAGCATTTGCCTGTGTTCCTTAAGCCAACCAGTGCAGATAGAGGGGAAAACTGTACTTGGGTTTCATTTATCTCATACTTTCCACGTGCTGGCTCCTTCCCTGCTTTGTCTCCCTCATTCTTCATAATAACTCTATAAGGAATACACAGTCATTCTCCATCTGGAAGGGGAGAAGACCGACCGAAGCCTTCTCACATAGGCAGGAAGGGGCAGATCTAGGACGCAGACTTGACCTGATGGGTGCACTTACTACAAAGGTGGATGGATGCTGTCATCCAATCCTGGATTCAGCATTCCTTCAGAGGAAAAGGTCTAGCTTCCCCCAGCCCAGGGTCCTAATGGAGGACGAGAAATTTCCCCTATGGGGTGTCTGAGACAGGAATGAAATGGCTGCTTGGTCACATGTGGTTGTGATTCAGTTCTCTAGGGAGCCTGTTTTTAAGGGTGGTGCTGACCAGGTTATGAGCCTGAGTGTTACCATCGGTTCTAAAGTGGGTAACCCAAACAACTGTGCATGCTGGGCTCTCAGTATGTACAACTTCAGGCAGCAGAGAAACAGTAGCCCTAACCCTTATAGATTCYGTCAGCGTGGAAGAAGGGGCTTCATATGGATGGGCAGAAGAGTTCGTTGGTTGAGGGCTATTAAAAGTAGCCAGCAAAGCATGTGGATTCCCCACCTGAAGAAGGGATAAAATTCTGTTCTGGTCTGAATATGTCCCCTAAATTTCACATGTTGGTACTATAATCCCCAAATTCATATGGTAAAGATAGTTGAGGGTTGAAACTCTGGGGTGTACCCTCATGAATGGATTAATTCATGGACTCATGGGTTATTGGCAGAGTGATTTTGTTACAGAAGCAAACTCTCATTGATGTGCCTGCTCTATCTTGCCATTTGATGCCCTTTGCCCTCACCAAATGCTAAGTGAATGCCAGCACCATGCTCTTGGGCTTCTCAGCCTCCAGAACAGTGAACTAAATAAACCTCAGTTCTTTATAAAAAATCCACTCTGTGGAATGTAGATACAGCCACAGTGAATGGACTAAGACAGGTATCATGTTTGGTTTGGGACCTGAGGCCAGGTGTTGTGCACTCAAGTTCCCCTTCTGGTTCAAGAATGTCTTATCAAAAGAAATTGCCTGGATAAACAGAGAGACTCCTGATTATGTGTGCCAAAACACAACTGAGCTTCCACAATGGGTTCTTAGTTCATCTGAGTCCCTACAGCTGTGTGCCTCTGCAGTCTGGAGCAATCTCAGTGCAGAGGTGGTAACTTTTCCAACCATGTAGGATATTCCGGGTTGAAAGTATACTTACTCATCATGCCTTGCCCAAATCCTGCTGTTCTGTTCCCAAACTGCTGTATTACCACAATTTCTCCAGATGCAGTGGCCAGTGTGTACATTCACGTGAACRGAGGGGAAAATGGCAGAGGGAGTCAGAAAAAAAGAGTGTTAGGGATTGAACCCTGGGCCTTGTGCACRCTAGAGACAGCATCTCACTGAGTTCCTTAGTACCTCACTTCTGCTGAAGCTGGATTTGAACTCACAGTCCTCCTATCTCAACCTCCTGAGCCGATGGGATTACAGGCGTGGGCCACTGTCCTGGCCCCTCACTCATCTTCAAAATGTACAGTCATACCACCCCAGCATTTTCTAGAAAATATATACAACAGGCCAAGTGGACACAAACTGAAGCATGATACTTTGTACCCAGCTCCTTTACACAACCAATTTCCCGTGAAACTGGCTGAGCAAAGGAAAGTTGACCTGCCTGTGGGCTGAGAACATGCCAGGGACATGCCCAAAACACAGCGGCAAGCTTCCTTTTGTTGCTAAAAGCTTGGTCCTTGTCCCTGATGCCAATCAATAATGAGGACATGGTTTTGAGAAAAAAGGAAAAAGAGATGTTTTTTTTTGCTTTTGCTAGCAAAGGAGAAACACAGGGGACAYGTGTCCTAAAGGCTGTGATTCTGTCCATCAGCAGGAACAAGGGACTTTTAAAGAAGTGATTCAAAAGGCTACATTCCACAGGTTTTCTGACTGGAGTTATAATCCACTTGTTAATTTGGGAGAGAGTCCTTTCTGAGATCTTCTGGTACCCTCCCCAAAGYCTGGATTACTTCATTCTTAGGGTGGGTGTGAACTCAAGGACAGATAAATCTGCCTAAAATGGGAGGAAAATGTAATCCCATTTCCCTGAGATTAGGGAGGGGAGAGATTAGGGTGGAGCAGGGAGAAATAAATTGGAGTTAGTCCTAGAGGAAGGTTCTAGAAAAGAAGCAGCAGCAGCAGCAGCAGCAGCAGCAGCAGCAGCAGCAGCAGCAGCAGCAGCTCTAGCGGCAGTAGCAGCAGCAGCCGGACCTGTGTGGAGGTGCTCTTCAGCGGCAGTTCTCACTACAGCGCTAGGATGAGTCCAGTTCGTGTTTGTCTGTGGAGACCTCTCTTATCTCACTTGCCTGCGGGAAATCGGGCTGAAACAACTGAATCCAAGATGGAGAGAGAAAAGATACAGTTCCGTAAACTCTTTATTGGTGGCTTAAGTTTTGAAACCACAGAGGACAGTTTAAGAAACTACTACAGGCAATGGGGAAAACTCACAGATTGTGTGGTTATGAGGGATTCTGCAAGCAAAAGATCAAGAGGATTTGGTTTTGTAACTTTCTCATCCATGGCTGAGGTTGATGCTGCCATGGCTGCAAGACCTCATTCCATTGATGGGAGAGTGGTTGAGCCAAAACGAGCTGTAGCAAGAGAGGAATCTGGAAAACCAGGGGCTCGTGTGACTGTGAAGAAGCTGTTTGTTGGCGGAATTAAAGGAGATACCGAGGAACACCACCTTAGAGATTACTTTGCAGGATATGGAAAAATTGACACCATTGAGATAATTACGGATAGGCAGTCTGGAAAGAAGAGAGGCTTTGGTTTTGTGACTTTTGACGACCATGATCCTGTGGACAAAATTGTATTGCAAAAATACCACACCATCAATGGTCATAATGCAGAAGTGAGAAAGGCTTTGTCTAGACAAGAAATGCAGAAAGTTCAAAGTTCCAGGAGTGGAAGAGGAGGCAACTTCAGAGGAAGATCTGATGGATATGGAAGCAGACGTGGATTTGGGGATGGCTCTAATGGATATGGAAGAGGAGCTGGACGTGGCAATTTTAGAGGTAGTCCTGGTTATGGAGGAGGAAGAGGAGGCTATGGTGGTAGAGGACGTGGATATGGAAACCGGGGTGGGGGCTATGGAGGTGGTTATGACAAGTATGGAGGAGGAAATTATGGAAGTGGAAGTTATAATGATTTTGGAAATTATAACCAGCAACCTTCTAAATATAGGCTAATGAAGAGCGGAAACTTGGGTAGCAGGAACATGGCGCRACCACGTGGTCGAGGAAATTATGGTCCTGGAGGAAGTGAGGGTTATGATGGGAGGAACCGATTCTGAGCTTCATCCTATTTGTCTTGAGCTTCATTGTATAAATAGGAGAGGATGAGAGCTCAAAGATAACTGAACAGCTTCAGGTTATTGAAATAACAATGTTAAGGAAACTCTTATCTCAGTCATGCATAAATATGCAATGATATGGCAGAAGACACCAGAGCAGATGCAGAGAGCCATTTTGGGAATGGATTGGATTATTTAGTAACATTACCTTACTGTGGGGGAAGGATTGTAAAAATAAAAAATAATAAAAGCCTTTGAGACAGTTAAAAAAAAAAGAAATTGCCTATTGTGTTCTGAAATTCTTAGTAAAGTTTCCTCTTCCTACACATTCCTCAACGTGATAATTGTTGTTTAGGAATCACAGTRGCTACACATGCCTGCCTCATTCATTGGGACATTTTCTTGGCTACTTGGCTGTTTTCCTGAGTGTAGGTTTTGGTTCTACATAGACTGTAAGGGACTTCAGGGCAGGGCCTGTTTCTTCAATTTTTCTGTAATTATTTCCCCCCAATACTTAGCATGTCAAACACTGCACTTATAAAGTACAATGAATTTCAGTGCCAGTCATTGGAGAGCTTACATCGTAGACACAAGCAAGTAAGTGGAGATTGTGCTAAGTATTATATGTGAGAATACTTATGGTGCGAAAASGGGAGAGAGTTTTGTATCATGCATGAAATCTTTGCTAAATGAATGAAGTATATGCATGAGAAATATAACAAAATAATGAAAGATCTGTTATATTAGGAGTCCTCATGTCATAAAATGTTCCTTTTGGATAGAAAACAAAAGGCCACGTGCTCATATCTCAGTTACCCTGACTCCTATGGTTTTTAAGGTTAAAAGGGGTTTTATAGTGTTCAATGGAACTCTCCCCTCTAAGACACAGAGAGGTTGGCTGGCCTCAGTTTACCATATCATCACAACACAAGTTGCGTCTTCTCCTTCCTCACCCACGCCCTCCTCCAGACAACACTAACTCAGAGGACCACAGGCTAACGCAGCATCCTTAATAACCCTGGTTATTGCCTTGATTTAGCTTTCCCTAATCAAAGCACAGCCCTCGTAGAAGGGAATTTCCAAAAAGCTGCCTGAGGCTGCTGATCAACAATTCATTTTTAGCATTTCTTTTTAAATCGCTCTAAGTCGTTGCACCTGGGTCACAGTGACAGCTGAATAAGGGGGCTGAGCGGCAACGTTCCGGGCACCAGGTTGGTGAGCCCCCTCCACCATGTATATGCATGAGCTCGCTATTTGCATAAAGTGAAAAAGCATCGCTCCCATTAATCACCGCATTCATCTTAATAATTAGTGGCAATAATGTTGAAGAGCGGTGGTCTCCACATCGATCTCTGAGGYACCATGGGCTATTTCTGTTGCAGATGAATGATCATCAAGAGTGACAAGTTGATGTCTTTGGATCGACCACCCCAGCTCCACGTGTTTTACAGCCTGGCAGCTGGTCAGGAAGCKCGAGTGATCTGTGGGGCTAATGCTGCCCCTCTAACAAGACCAGTAAAAAGGAGTGATGTGACACCTGGGAGGGGGCTTGGGAAAAAGTCCCTGACCACTTTAAGGGGCCCTTGCTTAGCCATATGCATAGTAAACTAGCCGTAACTGCAAAGCAAGAGGCTATTTGTCATAAAGATTATGACTCTATGGTTAAGCACTTGAAAGGCTACCACTTGCTCTCAGACCTTCTCCATAAAAGATTGGCTTGGGGTCTGTAATTTGCCAATGCTTCTGGGTCAAGAGAAAGCCGTTTCAGATCAGAAATGTAATAGAATGTTTTAAGGCCCGTGGTACCGTGCCAGAAGGAGGGAAGTATTAATAATTTTCACCGTTTTTTTTTTTAAAAAACCCTATCAGGTTAAAAAAAAAAAAAAACCCAGAAGTCACAAAGGAATCCACTGGAAGATTTGAAGAGAAACTACAAAGGACTTCATTAATACAAAAGGGGAGATTAGTCAGAGAACAAAAGAATAAGGAAGAAGGCAGCAAATGGAAATCCAGAGAGGAATTATAATAATGTAGGATTGGGGAGAGTAGCTGGTAAAAACTAAGGGGGAATTAAAACAAAGGCTCCTCAACTTCTAAGATCCTGAGATCAACCTGGATATTCCCACTCTGTGAGGAGAAAGACCAAGCAAGAGCGGCCGGGAAATTCAGGTTCCAGATGCAAGTTAAAATAAAAAAAAAAAAAAAAAGTAACAATTAAATTTCTCCAGCAATCCGGGATAGCAGAGCACTATCAGCAAAGCATTTGAGTTGACTGGGGAAATTTGATAATATTTATTCTTCTGCTCGCTCAGTTTCTATTCACCACAGAAGGACTGAACCTACCTTTGTGATCTCTCTTCCTGCCTTCAACAGAGGGGACGTCTGCAGCATCTCTATTAAACTGATAAAAAAGCTCCTAAAGAGAGTCAACTGTTTCCAGTGGCTGTTTTCTTAGGGGTATATTCACATGCAACACTCACCAACATGACATAAAGAGAATCAATCTTTGCATGTCCCCCACTACTTACGGAGTTTCTGTACTTGTACATTTTCTATGAGAGGAACAACACACTGAATCTAGTCAATGTCTGCATATAAAGCATCTTGGAGAAAGAAAAGGTTTAATTTGCTTAAGCAATGGCCTACTCTGTACACTACTGGATGTTCTCAGCAATTCTTTTTTTTAAGATATACGTGGGATGTGTGCATGCATGCATGCGTGCGTGGGTGCATGATATGGGCAGTTTTATGTGAAACACAGCCAACTCAACTTTGGGGACAAGACATGACTCCAAAGAGAGCACTTAGAGGATTTGTTTGTTTGTTTGTTGCTATTCATTTTTTTTTTCCTCCTCTTTGCAGCGTTATCTGGCTTTGGTACCTAGAGAGAGATTTTGTTATACCTCTRTGCTAGGTTTTGAAGGCAAAGTAAGGGTGCAACTGAAAAAAAAATCTATAAATGTGTGAATAAATTGCAGGGATGATATGTGACCTCTTCGATTAAGTCCCTAAATATTGGGTCTTGCATGATCCTATTCCTCCCTAGATATGACGGATGCTAGAAAGAAAGGGTCTTCTATATACAGGTTTGGAAATTGAACAAGGTTATGGGGGATGTGAACAATAGCATCCTCTGGCTCTATGGTGGCAGGAGGGAAAGGAGGGAGCTAAATGACCTCGAGAATCACAGCATTTGAACCAACAAAGGAGGAACAGAATGGGACTCCATCTGGGGGTCACTGGTCTGTCTATTTTGACCTGAGAGCAGCTTGACCCTCATCAGCTAAATGGGTGCATTCCTAGGGCACAGAGTCCACACACAAAGTACTTGATTTGTGTTTTCTGGGTAAGATCTGGGTGTTTTGCAAGGCCAGGTTTTTCCCCTTCTTACCCTCCTCTCCAGCGTGTCTTGCTGTGCATGGTTTCTTTGCCCTGCTGCTGGGTGTCTGGCATGTGAGCGGGTGTTTTTAATTGGACCCTCTGCAATGCATTTTCTGACACTCATTTGGTTACATTATATCTATCCTATTCTGTTATCAAACAAATTTGCTGTCAAACAAAAGATCAATGTTATTGTAATGTCCTACTTGATGGATTAAATAGGGTATTATTCAACTCTTATTAAACAATCAAGAAAAACACACTGGGACACGCTTTCATTCGCAGCTGCTAACAAATACAGTGTATCTGATCTGTGATTAAGAAACAAAGCAGGAGCAGTTATTTTCAGATTAATTAAACAAACAAGTAGGATTTAGGGACCAGGATTTTTTAAAACCCAGTACAATTCTTTGAAACATGTTTGGAAAAGGACATAATTTACTTTAACTACACGAGTGAACACTTAAGAATATAAAATCTTTGGGTGACGCGATTCTGGGATTAATTGCCCAGAACTATCTCGGTGCCATAAACAAAACCATTCTAGGGACGGACCTTTCAGTCCGTTTTTTTTTTTTTTCCTTCCTTGTGAGTAAATGTCCATTTAGAGAGCTTTTCTAAATTTAGAAGCAATGTTCATCAATCATTTATAATAAGCACCGAATAACTGCACTTGCCTGCCCGAGACGCATCCCCCCTTGCGAGGCGTGCTCCCTGCAGAGTGCTTATGTTGCCGGGCTGGCACCCACTCCATTACCAGGGCCTGACCTTTCTGTTTCTCCGACTTCACTCTCAAGATGCCCAGAGAAAGCAAATATTAAATCAGTAGAAATCTCCCTCTTATCTCAGCCCGCCTGGCTCTATATTATCTTTAGACTCCCCCCCCTCCACCCCCCCATCACCCGGCTTTGCATACAGTTGGCTACATTTTGCCTCCTTCTGTCTGATGCTGTTTCCGCTAATGGCTGAAGAAATGGAACATTACACCATTTAACGTGTGTGGGTCACATTAATCACAGAAAATTCTTTTAATGTCTCAGAAGTAACTGTCAAACTGGACATACTGAATCTATTTAAACTAAAGCATGCCATTTTTTATCTACAGTGATCTTTAATTCCCATAAAAGGGTCAAGAAAATGTGATTAAGTGACAGTTTTAAAATGTACTATAATATTAAATAGCTTGATTAAGTGACAACTATAAAATGTAATACAATATTAAGTATCTGGCTATGTCCCAAAAGAACTTTAAAGTATTTTTGAACGGTTTGGGAATTCACTAACCCGTAATGGGTTACTGAAGAATTTTGTATGTGTGTGTGTGTGGGGGGGTGGGTGGACATAAAAAACAGTTGAACTTAAAACACGCTCAGGACAAAACAAATCAAGAAAATAAACAAAATGAAAAATAAAGCCCTTAGTATTTGCCGATGATATAGAATCGCAGAGTTTCTCTCTGGAGCGTTGAAGAGAAATTGGTTTATTGATAATAGGGAGTGATCATTTTTAGGATCTGCATTTAGCTGGGTTTGACTGGAATGGCGAGGACTGTAATACAAAGAATAGGATCAAAGGGAGACCTTACACCTGGATGGAAGGGTTACAGACCAGGCAATGAC